GTGTAAAGCGCTTTGGGGTCCTTAGGACCAAGTTAAGCGCTATACAAATATTTACCATTTTACCATTTACCAAGCTCATGTAGCCTACAGTTGGTGCACAGCTGCAAACTGCTTTGCAACCCGCAGCCTCCCCAATGAATCAGTGTGGAAAAATCAGCAGATTATCTTGATGGCAGCTTGTAGCCAAAACATCTTCATCCCCCTCAGCATGAAATAAAAAGAATTCATAGTTTGTTTTTGTCTGCAGTCTGTGTGTTTTAATATTTGTATTCATATTTCATCAATGTGTTTGTTGTCTCTGATATCTGCTCTGTACTGCGGTTAAGTCCTGCTTCTTCTATCACTGCCTCCAGCTTTGTGTGTAATCACATGGAATGGTCAAAAGAGGTCCCAGAGGAGAGCCGCACAGCTAAAGTAAATTACAGCAGGTGAAAACGACCACAACAGTAACAATATTCTTCTCAGCATAGTGGTCCCGACTGAAATGCTTTATAAAACAAACAGCAGTTTGGCATATACGCAAAGTAACATGGCAATCAGCATTCATTTTCAGGGAACAGCAGTACCCTGCGCTCGTTTGGCTGTGTAGGAGGGCTCTGGTCCTCTGGTCTATCATCAGAAATGTTCAGTTTGAAAGCAGTTGGCGTTTTAAGGGGGATTAAAAAATGGGGATGCAAGGAGAGGTGGGATGTGCATAAATAAGATTATCATTCCACCACTAGAGGGAGCTGGACACCCTCAGGATAAACCTCCACCAACAACAGCATTCATACTGTAAACATAGCCTGTTTGCACAGTTTTAGCCTGGAAATGATGTACCTGGATCAGCCGTACAGATCTGTTCCACAAATCTCGCTGTGTGTCGTGAGTGTCTGCTGTTCTTTTCCCAAAAATAATAACAAGCTTATTTACGAAGAGCGTTTAAAAACCTGGACAGATTGGCTTACAGGAAGAAAAATAAAAGCAGAAAAGGTTTTAATCGGTTTATTAAAAGCGCAGTGAACAAACGAGGAGACCTTCTTTTCCATTTCATGTTTCTCTGCATTGATTAGACTCTTCCTTCGCTCAGGCTACAGACTGCTTTCTACAAGTGTCTACAGTTGGCTTCAGCTAATTTATAACCCAGTTTTCTGCCTCTGGCAGAACTTCAGCAGTACTTCAGAAGATACCGGCTACAAATAGAGCACTACAGCCAATCTGTTTTCTTTTTCTTATTTTTGGTATTTTTACTGAAGCCCTGAAATAATAACAGAAAGTGTTTGTGTAAGCTGCCACTGATGCAAACTGTGTTGGAGGGTTTCTAACACATTGACATTTAGAGGAGCCAAATTGGAATTTCATCTTTCTTCTGTTTTTCATTATTACTATTATTATGTGGGGCAGTTCTACATCCTGCTTTTAACAGTCAGTCGTTGCCTCGATTCTTTGTCCACATCTTCTGAAGTGTCCTTTTGCTTTCATAAACATAAAAATT